AGAGAGCTTTGACTATAGTCTCTTTTACAAAATACAGGGGTTTTTTAATATGCAGTATGTTTTATAACAGGCAATATAAAATGCTTACTTCGAGTTTATGAAGCATTGTCTGCTTGCCACGTCAATTTCAATGCTAATTGCGGCGGCGTGCGCACTAGTGTTTGCGGAGGCGGAGTTTAGAATATATTAATGTTCCCGCGGGAAGTTTAAACTAGGTCACTGGTGTTCTCCTGGGAGTCTCCATACAACAAATTTGGAGAGAAAGCTAAGATGCAGAGTAGACGTTTTTGAAATTCGCGTTTTGCGGGCACTTCCAAATGTTGCAATCCCTTGAAAATTTCTATGACACTTCTTGTGATGCCACATAAAAATAACCATATGGGAAAATAGAAATCCAGCAGTTACGAAATGATAAATTACGCCTCAAAGTGCGCCAAAAGCGACTTCTCGTACAAGCAGGATGCTGGAGTATGCAATTTTTGTGGCAAATTTGCGACTTCTTATAGAAGCGCAAAAAGAAAACGACATGGTGCACTATTTAATTGATATCTCTTCTATAAAAGCCATATGGGAAAAAGTCGTTTCAAAAAAGTAGTTTGTCAGTAAACAAGTAAAACGTAAGCCCTTCTGGACATTTTTAGGCCATTTTCTCTATTGTTTGACGCACGTTTTCCTTAATTAGCTTTCAAATTTAGGCGCCAGCGTCTCCAATAAGTGTCCCGGATGTGTCGCTGCATTCTGGGCGAGTGAGTGAGTTACAGGTATTTTGGTTATGCACGTTCAAATTAAGCCTCTATTCAGGGCAGTTATTAAAAATTAAAATGTTTTTATGTATGATTGTTCTGTTTCATTCATTTCTGGTTTCATAATAAATATCTTTCACCAGCAGACAATCTCGCCCTAAGGTGCTTTTCAGGATGGTCCTGGGTAAAAATAACTTGAAAAACTAACGGAAAGCCAAAAACATAATAAAATGATTAAAAAACTTATATATACAGTCCATAAAAAATACTACAAATCTTAAAATCCAAAAAAAGGATAAAATGCAGTTGATAAATATTAAAATTCCAAAGAGCTGGTTGTTTTTAGAAATTAAATTGGAATTCAGCATATGAAATACAAGCACCATGTAGTGTGCGCAATATAACCTTTTGTTCTAAGCCTTACAAAAGTTGGTTCAGTGTTACTAATGGTTATCGGTTAGCCGATTAAAGGCTTTATCAATATCGGAGATAAGTCACGTATGACAACGGTAATGAAAGACCGCTAACACAAACTGTTGTAAAGGGTAAACTCATTGACAACCACATACAATTCAGAAACCGTATTTGTATGCGTTTTCAATAAAAGTGTTTTAACTGCCGCCCGATTTTCAGATTCTTTTAAATTTTTCAAGAAAGTATTTCTAAACTATTTTGTCTATTTCTCTCCTTTCTAAGAAGAGTCTAAGTTCCTGTCAGACAGATTGGCTGCCGCGTAATTAACGCCATTTCCAATTCACCAGTTGATTTCTTAACATTGATCTCTATTCTTCATTGATTGCTGGAAACGGCAGACTGATAATAATAATACGGTATTACACACTCGTCTACTACGCCATGCATAATAATAACTATACGAACGATAAAAAGTACGGCTCGGATTAAAAACAAAACGCGATCCGGCTTAAACAACCATCCTGTGGCTTTAATCACAGGCCGGACTGTGTGAAAAAAAAAACCCAATATTCTCTCACGCCGTGCTTTGATGAGGAAAAATGATAGAAATTCAAAATTAATTTGTATTGCTTGGGTCCCATTATGTAACTTAATTTGTAGTAAATGAGACCCTGAGTGGCCCACTGAGATATTTGGGTTGTCTTTAATTACGCGGCTTTGCCAAAGGCCATCCCATACAAAGAATAGTCAGCTGCGTATGCTAAAATTGTATTTTATTTTCGCCTATTACAAATCATTGCTAATGCGTGCGCTGAAGAAGTACCATTAATTTATCTCCCACTGCATGTTGAAACCTCTATATATTGTGCCCTGATATTGTGAAATAAACCTTATATATTATTTGAATCAAAGATAATTGACGATATTTTGGGTTAAACTAACCTATAGCGTCTTCTTTTTCGGATTTTTTTCATTTAAAAGCTTCCCTGGGAAGTTGATTTGATCTTCAGGTTTCTTCTTATTTTCTTTCTGAACGCCATATCTATAATCTCAAACTTGCTCTATTATCAGACGTTCATGACAGAAGACTCCAATCTTGTGCAGAGACGCAGCACATCAGCGGGCAACCTCGTTCCCAGGGTCTCTCATCTTCCCACAAACTTCAGTATTTTTAGAGCAAAATGTGGAGCATGGTAACGAAATGCTGCGTCACTCGTAATAATAAAGTGTTTGTGGATTTCAAGGAATCGGGCGCATATCATGGTGTCGAATGCAAACTTGAAGATACACCAGAAAACTATCTAAACTATTGCAACGAAACGTAACTGGGCTACGAATTTGTGCCCATATTTCAGCTCTTTTGATAGGAGCCTAAATATCTGATTTCTGGTTCCATGAAATAATTTTCGCGAATTATCATCACTCTTCGTTATCATGCACAGTGTGTCAAAAACAAATCATATCATATCGCGCATGCTCCGTATATCGTGCTCACGAGATGGAATGTTGTTCGTCGGGGGAACACCAGTAGATGTTGAAATCCCGCCTCCGAGACGGACTGAGCCCGCGGTGTTAGTTCCTTGCTGGCGCGGCTTTCGGAGTACTCGTGAGTGTTCTCGCTTGTTTCCGATTGTATAAAAAGCTTCGGAAACTCTTCGAGTGCTTCTACAAAGATTTGCCAAACCGGCTCATTTCTACTGATCAGGGCCCGGTTGTTCGAAAGCCGATTAACGCTAATCCAGGATTAAAAGTTAATCGAGCTTTTAATTTCTCTTGTATAAAAGTGTTTTTCTCTGCTCATGTTTTGTTATGTTTAAGATTAGTCAAAGTCAAAACAGAAAGACAAAAAATATAAACAGAAAACCTCACTGAAAAGTTACAAAACTGAAATCAAAACTCGCGCTAATCCTGGATTAGCTTAATCGTCCTTTGAACAACCCGGCCCAGTAGAATGTGATTTTTAAGTTTTTTTTTTTTAGTTTTAACTCAAAAACGGCGGCTGGAAGGATTTATTTTGGTCGCTTTAAGGTTGGAATTCACCCGTCGAATAACAAAGTACCTACACGTTCTTTTCTTATTATAAATATTTCATTTTAATGTCTATGTTCTATAACGCGCAGACCTGGTATATCTCATAAGTAAAAGGTCAATACTTGCTGTATTTATCTTACATAACAAGTAATTAATCTACAATAAATGCCAAGATAGATGCGAGAAGCACAAAACGTATACTTAAGGTGGCTGGTAACGGTTTACAGCCCTTGCGCTTTGATTGATCGATACTACCATCATGTTAAAATAAAGGTGTCAAACGGTTGCCTAATCATCGGTGAACAAGTTATGATAATATTTGTGACATAATAGGTTACCATACAGGCCCGTAGACAGAATTTGAATGGGGGGGGGGGGGGGGGGGGGGCGTTTGAGTGGCAAAGTTGGGGTCGTACGAGCGCCTAAGGCACGAGCTACTAGGGGGAAAGATTAGGTTGTCTGAGACTGCATTTTGTGCGTTTTGAAGGCAGTATGATATGAAACCAGGCAGCCAAAAGCAAACGTAAAAACATGAATATTTCTGGAATTGTTCAGTTAAAGAAAATACCGATGAAAGAATACTAAAAATACATAATGCGGATCTTCGATTAAAGAAATTTTTAAGCCAAAGGAGTGAATATTTGGATGAAAATGACTTGCTTGATGTTGTCTTTGTTGATGAAGACGATATGTAAACACGTTCAAAGCTGCAATTGTTTGATTCAGACTTCATTTTCAAACCAAAAGGTGGACTATAGGTGGACCTCCACAGCCCGTGGGGGGTGCGGACGCACCCATCGCACCCCCCCCCCTCCCTACGGGCCTGCCATAGCAACAGTATTACCTGTCAAAAACACCCTTATTTTTAGCTTTAAGTGCTTATAACTCAAAAACGAGCCCGGCGACCCCATTTTTTATAATTGAATAATGATCAGCATATTAAGATACAACTTTTTGCAAAATTTAAAAAAATTATGCGGAGGGAGTTCAGAGCCACCTTAAATTTTCGAAAATTTAAGGTGGCTCTGAATTCCCTCCGCAGTCTTTGGTCATGAGAACGCAAGGAAACTGACACTCTATATTTTTCCACATTAGACGATCTTCTTCGCTGGACTATCTTTTCATTTCTTGACTCATTTTGTATCCATCTTGACTGTACACAATAAACACGGCCTGGGAAGTGAGAAGTTCCTACGTTTGGTCACGATTTTCCAGAACAAGGTCTCACTTCGTCTGTTTTGTGCATCTTGCATTTATTTTGTTGTATTTAAATGTATCACACAATAAAATATTTAATTATAATTATTTTACATTTTGCTCACTCTATTTTCATTGGCTGAGAGCGTACAGCTAATTCACGCTGGTCTCTAATTGACGCGTCATAACTACAGACATTAGGATTTATCATGTAATTACGCGTCATAACTACAGACACTAGGACTGATATTATGCATGTAATTACGTGTCATTTATTGACGTCATGCACGTGTACCACGCGTCGTTGGCACCAACAGCGAAAAATAAATTAAAATACTCCACAATTCGCGAGGGAAAAAGCTATCAAAACACTGCGAAGTTAAGCCTGAAATGATGATTTATTTTCTTAAATGTATGATAAAAAAATTATTGGATTCGGTTTTCGCAATTATCAAATAATTGTTTTTTACTGGTACTTACATTGTGACGTGATCCTTTAAAAATAATAACTAGTACATGGTAATAAAGAATGATAGTAAATAACTACCTGTGTAATAATTATAAATTTGAATATTTAAAAACAGTAATAACTTTGTTGAACCAATCCAGCTATAGTGGCAGGATGGAGGGCTTGAACCCTGGATCTCCTGATTACAGGCCCAGCGCCCTGAACCACTCGGCCACGCTGCCTCCAACTGGCAGGAAGTGAACCAGTTTAGGTATTTACATATTATTTACATAGCGATTCATTTTATGCAGACCAATTCTCCACAAGGAAAGACGGACAATGATGATGTGACTTCGCGATGCCTACTAGTTATGCAATGCATTCAAGTGGCGTCAGTTAATATATCTTCATGATCGAGAAATGATTTTCTTGTTGACAATTAAGTCGGAACGGAAAGAAAATATTTTCTGACAATATAGCAAAACATGCCAGGGTAAGCACGATTAAATTCAACAACCTTCGTCATTCATGGAGGAATTACCAAGGCATTAACTGCTTTGAATCCGTGCAAACCGCAGGTGACTCGCGCAGAAGAATTTCAGCTTGGTATGTTAAATTTGCCGTAGTTATTTGGCCATACACGATTGATGAACTTGGGTTTTCTGAATGTTCAGATGCTAAACATTTTAGGTGTCCATTTTAGCTGATTTCAGTTGAATGGATTGATTTTAAACACTTCTTGCAACAAGTCGGTATCTCTCTATAGATTTGTAGTCGTGTGACCAACGCTTCATTGCTCCACTGCGTAAATTTTGGTTGTGTGTTTACGAGTAGCTGTTTACGAGTGTAATTTTACGAGTAGCTTGAGTTTCGTTGAGAATTTCTTCAGTACCTGCATTGTATTGTTCTTTTTTAAATGAGAAATTAATTTCTTGTTTGCTTTTTAGTCGGAACGGAATGCAAATATTAGCTGAAAACGCAAAATTAAATTTAAAAACCTGCGGCTTAAAAATGTTGTGAATCGCGCAAACCACAAACATAACGCGACTCGCGCGACAGTAGCTCAGTAGCTGAGAGCCGTGTTTTTAGACGACGAAAAGCGTGGAATTTAAGACCCAGGTGTCAGCCGTTTTTAAACACGACGCTTAAAAGCGTCGTGTTTTTTCACGGGTGTTTGTTGCCTGAAAAGTAATTTAAAATGTTGTGACCGCTTGCTTTTATTTTAATCTGTAACTTTAACCGAGTTTTCTAAATAAGAAGCTTAAGAAGCTATTTAAATAGCCTGCGGGCAAAAGAAATACGAGACGTCTGCACGCAAAGGAAATACGAGACGTCTGCACGCAGGCTACCTTTTCAAATGTCAGGCTAGGCTGGAAATCATGTGATTACCTATACTTACAATTCTAAACTACGGCAGTGTTATCTAAAAGTCCCTTTTAACTCCAAGCCAATGTTCGGTTGTTGAGGATGGACCTGACGAGCAGCGGTGATCAGGGTTTACTCTTCGGCCGTAATAATGTCCAAAGTTCTGTTCATTGTCACCTATACCTGGTCTGCCATCCAAGTCGCAACCATGTGTGTAGCTGGTATAACTGTTTAATATGTACCACGAGCTTCCATCATTCTGGTTTGTTAGTGCAGTACAATTGTAACACTCAATTTCCCGGATGTTAAGATATTCATACAGCATGCATTCTCGACGCCATGTGTCAAATATGTCATGATTTTTCAAGTCAGCTCGTGCGTAGTCTGTGTAATTGAAGCCTTGAGAATGAAAGTTGCAGGTTACTCTCAAGTGAGTCGAGTTTCCAGCGAGATGCTGAATGTGAGGCAGAGACAAACGGTGTAAGGTCCAGTTCACTTCCAATGAATACTCGTCAATAGGATAATCAAGATTAAAAACTTTGGTGTCAAATTGCTTCTTGTTTCCAAATGAGAATGACTGAATGAGGGCCCAGAAAAATTTCAGGTTCAGATTCAAGGTCACAGTACACAAGAAATGGCTCATTCTGAGCGTCATAAATCCTGTACTTTCCAGATGTCAAGGTCCCATATTTCCAGATGTCTTTACAGTTTCGAGCAAGATATTTGATTTTCTCGCACCGCTGACCAGTGTAATCGTCAGGACAGGTGCAGTTGAATCTCACAGTCTCAGGATCGCAAATTTCCCGACACACCCCTCCCTGGAAGCATGGATCTGGCTCGCAGCACTTGTTGATACAAATGTCTTTTTCAGGCATGTAACGTCTTCCACCCTAAAACAAAAAAGCGATGCATTTCTCAACCACTCGAAAATATATTTAGAAATTAATGCCTCTTAATACTTGAACAATCATACGATGAAAAAGGAAATAATTATATTTGCAATTTAATTACTGCTAACGTAACTAATAGAAAGGGTAAATGTAACGGCAACGCTAATTTGATTGCAAAATGCTTGCAACAAACTGAACCAAAATGACTGATGATGATAAACCGGTAAGGGTCTGACTGTGGAAGCATTCAAGCAATATTGACCAAACTTCATGAATGTTCATCAATATTATCGGGAAACATTGTGGTTTGTCAATTTTTTGCTCATGTGACTTGACGTTTCTATGGTAATTATGTTTTTATATAGTGTTTTAGCCAAATTTGGTTTGTTTTCAGTGCAATCAGTTTAAGTTTAATAATGGGAAGTTTCTATCAAAATATTAACAGATTTTACATCCTTGTATTTTTTTGTTTCAAATAAATTTCGGAGATTTTCAGTTATTTTTGAAAAATGTTGAGGATTTTTAAAATGCAGGACATCTTTTCAGGGGATATTACGTCATAATTGACATGCGACTCTCACTGAAATAAACGTTTTCGGAGGATGTACACACCACATAAGTTTCAGTACCATAATTTGAATAGATACATGGGGTCCCCCAGGCAGAACTATTTACAGTTCTCCAAGATATATCAAGGATATATATTATTTTTTCCTTAGCAACCATTTGAGTGCAACTGCTCCCTCCTGATAATTGCCAACATTTTCTTTGATTGATTGATTGTAAAAAAATTTAAGAAATCGTTCTCTGGTTAAACATTTAAAAATATGAGCTTTCGGTTGCCAGTCTGCAACCTTTGACAAATAATAGATAAAAAGCACGAAAATGGAAATATATACGATAAAACGTGTGAAGTAGAAAAAATTACAATAAAAACAATAAAAATACTTATGGTTGAATTAAAAGTAAAATAATAAAAAGTTCTATTATAAAAGAATCGAGTATTGCCTAGGTAATTGTTTAGAGTTATTTTCTGCTTCACTTGTAATTGCAGTGTGCCAGGATTCCAGTGTTTTTCTTACACGAAAGTTCCCATATCAATTACACGTGCGTTATCAAAGTCAATGGAGTGGCCGTTCAACCATGTTGTTTCGCGAAACAAAACATAAAATGTTTCATTTTTCGGTGTATTCTCACCTCGACACTGTAGCTCCTCACCAAATCATAATACCGAGCTCCTGGTTTGTATTTCAATGCAGCTGGCTTCATTTCTCTATTGACATCATTCAGCTCACAGTTGCCTTCCCGTGTATTTTGTAAATAGTTTATAGAGACACACAGACACTCGTCTCTACACTCCATGTGGCATTGGGCGGCGCTATTCACAGTGATCCTTTTAACCACGTGACCTTCAAGGGCGTTGTCATGGACAACATCTTGATCAATGACAAACTTGAAATTCTGACAATTTCCTTGACATGTCGCATATTACAATTCGCGTTAGTTTAAGAAGAATGATCAAAGGTACCAAAGAAAACATCTTTAACTTGGCAATCATCTGAAAAATAAACTAGTAAAATTGTAAAATGAGTAAAGTTTGAGCTTTTTAAAATCAGTATGTTATAGAGCACAATCAACCGTCTTCTTTTCTTATTTCACTGATGAAGATTCCACTATAACAATTTCATTCTAATTTGTAGCTAGCAATTTAAGAGCGGCTGACTGTAATTATCGAGAATTCGCTGTCAAAACGGAAATTTCGGATTTCTTCATATTTGGTTGGGAGAAACCCTTTGGTGAAGTATTTACGAAAATTACCGTGATCAAACTTTCCAAGGATCGGGTTTTCGTTTTTAAGAAATTCGGCAAAACGTGTTCGCGTCAAAGCCGCCATTAAATTTTGCCGAAAATTGGTGCAAATTCAAATCGCTCGGGAAGAAAGACGGCTCAAGGTATCGAAATTATATTTTGCAGCTAATTAGGGTATCCTTGCTACAACACGGAAATATAAAAATATTGTAAGAAGATGCATTTTTACATGTCGTATATTGAAAGCATATTTTCAGCACTTCAGTAAACACTTGAAACTAAGGAGATTTGAAGGCAAAAATCTTGCCCTGGTGGTTTTTGTGAACACTAGAAAGGCTGGCAGTGACTACACTTACCTTTATCTGCACAAAAGTGTGAATTATACTTACATTGTAGTTCTGTCCTAGATGTTTGTAAAGACTGATTCGTATATTTCAGATATTTTGTTCAAACCACCCGATTCAGGCCGCAGTTATTAAAAATTAAAACTGTTTTTCCGCACGGTTGTTCTGCTTCATTCATTTCTGGTTTCACCCCAAAACAGCTGATTGTTTAAAAACAAAAATTAAATAGGAATTTGAATGAAATACACATGCACCAAGCGGTCCTCGATATTACTTTTGTTATAAGCCTTGAAAAGTTGGATTTTAATTATGGTTATCGATTAGCCAAGGGTACATTGCAATTGTTTTACTAGTCTTGTTGTTTAAAACTCGGTATCAGTATCGAAGGTAAGTCATGTATGACAAACGTCAATTGAGAAAGACGAGTTGTTGCAAAGTGGAACTTATTGACAGCCGGACATACACTTCAGCAACCGTATTTTGTATATTTTATATAAAAAAAACTTAAGATTGTACACAGATATAGGAGGTGCGTATGTGGTTTCAATAAAAGTGTTTTCACTGTGGCTCGATTTTCAGATTCTTTTAAATTTTACAAGAAATATTAATTTCTAAACTATTTTGTCTTTCGGTCTCCTTTCAAAGCAGTTTTAAGATTCCTGTATAATTATATTGGCATTTCTAAACTGTTTTGACTATTTGTCTCCTTTCTTGACAGTTCTAAGATTCCTGTAGATAGATTGGCTACAGCGTGTTAACATTTCCAATTCACCAGTTCTTTAATTTACATTGATCTCTATTCTTAATTGCCGGGAAAACGGCAGACTGATAATA